TGTAGGACTCGGGCATTAAATAGTAAAAACAGTTACTTTGATACAACTCTTTTATAGCATGTATATAATTTAAGGGAACATTTTGCCATTGGCTTTGACATGTCCTCCCAGTCAATGGGGAAGAGGATAGGAATCTCTGGAAAAATGATAAAAGGGACAATGATAAAGGAGAAATTATTAGATTAAAACTCAGGGACCAAATCTTCTTAAGTATGGAAAGTTTAATGCCTGGGTTTTAAAAAGCTAATTTTTACTCTATGCAATTTGATTCTTTTTTTACATATCCCTCAGTTTGAATAATAAAAACAAGCTAGTCAGCTTCATGCTTGCTTGTATTTAATTTGCAGTCAATTTAATTCTCGGGTTCCCACACAAAGGACTATTTATTTGTTTTTTTTAAAACAAAACCTTAGCTTTTTAAAAAAAAATTCCATGGAGACATTGGGTCTTAAGTTATGGAAAATCTTGTATTTTAGAAAGCTACATCTGGGCCATAGCATCCATTTTAAAAATGTAAAAAAAAAAATGCATCTCTTAGCAAATGACTAATACAGTTCAGCCTTTCACTCAGTCCCATCAAATCTTTTTCTAGTTTTGGGCAGGATCGTCCCATCCCCGAATGCAGGCAGAAAAGAGAAAACTGGTGCAAAACTGAGACACGAAGTTAGAAGTAGGGATACAGCAGCTCTTTGGCATGCTTCCTCTTCCTCTCCCTCAGCCTGTTAAAGCCCCTCCATTCAAAGACCACGCAGCGGGAATGCAGTGGATTTGGTTAGTGTGTTCTTGCAGCCTCCTCTCTGACCCAAACAATTTCCAAGCAGAAATCCCTGGGAAAATTGCTGTTAGAAGCAGTCTTATCCCTCCCCACTTCTCCACCCAGCTTTTGCTCCCTTGGAAATGGATGTCACGCAAAGCCATGGAAAGAGCAGCAAATTGCAGCAAAGTTACTTAAGGGATTGGGCGAGTAGGAAAATGGCACTGTTTTCTGTGGGGGAAGAAATGTACGTCGTTACAATTAAATACCTTTATGATGGCAAATCCTAGGATCACGAGCATAGCATAGCTCAATACAGCCTGTAGCCCATTTTCCACTTTCTCCGCACAGCCCTGTAGAGATGTAGAAAAGGAAGATTTAGCTGCCATTTGATTAGCCTGTTAAACTGAGAACAAACCAACAAATCCAATACAATGGGGCAGGTTTTGCACACAATCTCACAGGGGCAGGACCAGGGCCAGCTCCAAGCGGCAAAAAAATAAAAAAAAGTTGCCGCTGCTTCATTCTTCGGCGGCAATTCGGCAGCGGGTCCTTCCCTCCGAGAGGGACTGAGGGACCCACCGCTGAATTGCCGCCGAAGACCCAGACGTGCCGTCCCTTTCCGTTGGCCACCCCAGGCACCTGCTTGCTGCACTGGTGCCTGGAGCCGGCCCTAGGCAGGACCTTGTGCTGCTCTGCTATGTGGTCAACGGCAGCAGTCTTGGCCTTGAAACAAGCTACTGCTCTTGCACTGCTCAGGAGATGCACTCGACAATCTAATAACTCTGCCATCTATAGTTTCTATGAGTCTTATATGGCCCCGTTCAGTTACTGTATAAAGGAAGTTGCCACATACAGAGCCAGGCGGCTTGTGGTGGTGTCCACAAGGTAAAATGAGGGTTTGTGGGGTCCCAAAGTGGGGAAGATGGGTGCAATTTTTTTCTAAATTAAACCCTATGAATACTGAATGAATGTCATAATTTATTCCAGAATTTGATGTAAAATCTAGGGTTGGTAGCATAATCCTTCTCCCGAGCTGAAGAGGATCGATTCATTAGTGAGGTAGCAGGGTCATCTACCAAATCCCCAGCACTCTTCCCACAGCAGCTGGGTTTTCCTCGGTTGTCTCCTATCCAGTACTGACCAGGCATAGATTATGAAAATATTATTACTCATATTCTGATGGTGCCTAAGGGCCAACCAAGAATGAGGCCCCATTGTGCTAGACACAGTAAAAACATAATGAGAGACAGTCCCTGCCCCATAAAGTTTACAATCTAAACAGTCAAGACAGATAAAGATTAGGGGAAAGGGATATAACATACAGAGTGAACATAAGGACAGCCATACTGGGTCAGACCAATTGTCCATCTAGCTCAGTATCCTGTCTTCCAATAGTGGCCACTGCCAGGATGCTTCAGAGGGAATGAACAGAACAGGGCAATTCTGAGTGATCCACCCCGTCATCCAGTCTTAGCTTCTGGCAAGTTACCTTGGAGATGAAAATGTGAGAACAATGTGATGGCTACAAATGTCGCCTTCTGTGATTTTTAGTGCTTTTAATATTTAAATCCTTTCAGTGGGGTTATGTAAGGCCAAGTCTACACTACAAGCTTTTGTTGACACAAGTTACATCAGCATACAGCCGCCCCAGTTAGTATACTGCTTGTGCGCATGCATACTTGGTTCCTTGTGCTGGCGCTGTGCAAAGTCACCAGGAGTGCTTGTACAGATGCATAGTGCAATGCACCATGGACAGGTATCCCAGTGTGCAACCCACCACTATCCAGTCTTTTAGGAAGTGTTGGCATTGCACAGTGGGGCAGAAATGAGTTGTGCAGGAAAGAGTGGGAGCAAGGGGTCAGCTTCCCAGCATGGAACTGTCTCCGTCCCACAAAAGTCATCTATATCCCATAATTTTAAGGCCTTTTTTAAAAATCCCATGAACCCTCATGGCCTTCCTCACTCTCCGCACAGCTCTGGACTATTGTCGTAAGTGTTGCAAGCACAGGACGCATGATCCTCCGGTATTTGCAGAGCTACAAGAAGAACCGAATCAGCGGTTTTGTCAAGGTCAGTTTGCTGTGAGACATAGCAAAAACCAATTCAAGGTCGTTGGTGGCATTCACTGAGCAGTTGCAGACAGGGAAGCACCGCTGCTAGACCTGACAAATGAGCACTGACTGGTGGGATCAGATCATAATGCAGGCTTGGGGTGATGAACAGGGTCTGCAGAACTTTCAGATGCACAAGACCACATTCCTGCATATGTTTGCCAAGCTCACTTCAGCCCTCCAGCACAAAGACACCAGACACTGACAGTGGAGAAGCAGAGAAATGGAGTGGAGATCGCACTGTGGAAACTTGCAACACCAGATTGCTACCAGTCAGTGGGAAATAATTTTGTAGTTGGAAAATCCACTGTGGGGGGCCATTGTAGTGCAAGTGTGCAGGACCATTCATCATTTCCTGCTACTCAGGACTGTGACTCTAGGCAATGTTCAGAACACAGTAGATGGATTTGCAGCAATGGGGTTCCCAAAGCTGTGGTGGAGCAATAGACAGCATGCATATCCCTATTTTGGCGCCAGCCCACCTTGCCATGGAGTACATCAACAGAAAGGGCTACTTTTCTATGGTTATGCAAGCGTTGTTGGCTCACCAGGGATGTTTCACCAACATCACTGCTGACTGGTCAGGGAAGGTGTATGACGCTTGCATCTTTAAGAGCTCAGGACTGTTCAGGAACTTTCCTTCCTGACCAGCAGATTACCATTGGCAATGTTGAAATGCCAATAGTAATCCTAAGGGACCCAGCCTACCCCTTGCTTCCCTGGCTCAAGACGACGTACTTCAGCCTCCTTGACAGCACCAAGGAAAGATTCAACTACTGGCTCAGCAGGTGCAGAATGACTGCTGAATGTGCTTTTGGTAGATTGAAGGGACACTGGGATGCTGGTTTGTTCGCAAGGTTGGATCTCAGTGAAAAAACATCCCAATGGTAACAGCTGACTGCTGGGTCCTGCATAATATCTGTGAAACAAAGGGGGGAAAGTTGCTGCCGGGATGGAGGTGGAGCAGCTGTCTGTTGGGTTTGAACAGCCAGACACAAGGGCTGTTAGAAGCAGGGCCGGCTCCAGGCACCAGCTTCTCAAGCAGGTGCTTGGGGCGGCCGGTCGGGAGAGGGGCGGCAGGTCCAGGTATTCGGCGGACGGTCCCTCACTCCGGCTCGGAGTGAAGGACCTCCCGCCGAATTGCCGCCGCAGATCGCGATCGCGGACGCGGCTTTTTTTTTTTTTTTTTTTTTTTGGTTTTGGCCGGTTGGGGGGGGCCAAAACCCGGGGGCCGGACCTGGTAGAAGGGGTTTCACAGGGGTGT